ATCATATGTCCTGATGGGAGCTGGAGGCAGCCTTCACAGGACTGCCAGGCCCTGTGAGAAACACGCCTCGCTACACCTCAAGCACACACAAGTACACCGTGGCAGTCTGGCCTCCAGCAAGCAAAGAGGAAGACTAGCGTGAAAAAGGAACTGGAGTTATGCTGAGGCTGGGTATTTTTTCCCTTTGGGCTGATTTTCTGCTTTCTGATCCATTTCTGGGTTGTAGAAGCATGAAAGGCCCCAACCAGATATATCATGAAAATGTGGATGTAAGTGCCCAGGGCATCAAAGCCAGTGTGAGCCAGACAATGGGTGGGTTCATCCCTTTGCCATCACCCAACTACCTCAAGAGTGCCCTCTGTGCTGTGTACAGTATGTCATGGTATGCGAATAGTGGTCAGAAAAGCTTAGTAAGCAATTCAAGTCATCCTTTCTTCCCTCTAAAAAGATCTCAGATAAGTTTTCAAGGAATTGAGCAGAAGGAAAAACCAAATGGTAGTCACATCTTAACCCCTTGAAGTAGGACACAGAGAAAAAATTTTCAAATCATAGAAATAATCCATTATGATTAGCCATGATATCTAAGCTCTTTTTCAAGGGGGGAAAAAAAACCCTACTAGATCACTAGCCTGAGAAGCAAGGCCTGGGAGCACTGCCATTCCCTTACTGCTCATTTTTGCTTCCTTTGTCCATCAATTTGTATAATCATTTTACTAAGCGTGCAAAACTATGCAGTCTTTAAAGTTTGCAGCTAATTTTGTTATTTTTAAAGTTGTTAACTACATATGTCGTCCTCCCCAACATCTTCCTCCTATACACTTAATTTAATCTGTTATTCTTTAGGGTTTCTCCAAACCCCACAAAACAAATGAAGACAAAAAAATCCTCTCCTACCTCTCACCTCTGTACCTTTGTTTACACCATCCCATCTCATCCCACCTTCAAAATCTCCAGTTACTAAAATCTGCTCTTCTTTTCAAAGCCCAACTCAGGTGTCACCCCCTCCATGATACTTCCATGATTACCATCCCCTCAACCTAATAATAACCTCTTGCTCCTCAAATTCAACAAACATTTTTAAAGTAATGAGTATTCAAGGTACCATAACAAGTACTAAAGTTATAGAGATAAAAATTACTTGAAGGACATAGCTTGGCACTCTCCTATATGATCTATTAATAATAATCTATTTTGTATTAATTATTTGTATAGATATTACAGACTTTACCCCCCCTTTCCCAGATTGTAAACTCTCTCTTCAGAAGTACTCTTAAAAGACTACATCTTCATTCCCAAGCAGAAACTGAAAACTTGGAGCTCAGGTAGATTAGGAAAAGAAGAGCAGAAGAACAGCTCATTCAGTGACCCAAACGACTATGTTTTATACCACCAACTGTACAGGTCATCGAATGAGCCCAGAGTTCATCACTTTACCTGAGACGTATTAGGGAACTATAGTCTAAAACTGTTATTAACACAGTAGAATTAAGCTCATGGTTAATCCATGGAATCATTTATTTAGAGTACAGGCATATCTTGCTTAATGCTGTTAACTGACACCATAAAAACACATCATTTGGGTACAACAACAATCTGGGGGCATTAATTCCATAGAGACAATGTCAACATTTGCTCCTTAGGCATGGTCCTCTCCTTCCTAGACCTCACAGTTCAGTTAACTGTACAAGAATATTATACATAAAGTCAATGAAAAAAACATTTAAAAGAAACCTATCACTAAGTGCGAATAAAAATGATACAGGTCATGTTTTTAAGTGTTGAATCAACAAAGAGATCAAGCAAGTATTGATTTACTATGTGCTAGTCACTGTGCTAGCTGGTGATAGACAAAACCCAAACAGCTGCTGACTCAAAGAGCTTATACTCAACAGCAGAAACAAGTAGATCCAAGGCACTTATGTAGGGAGAGGGAATGAGTTGGCATCACATAGGAAGAGGCTTTTAGCTGAACTGGGAAGGAAATCCGGGGTTCTAAGAGGTAGAGGTGATGAAGGACATGTCAAACGAGGGCATGCAGGTGACAGCCAGACTGCAGGCTGCACAAGGGGGCATCATGTGTAAGTACTAAGGCTGTCGTGTTGTGAGACGCTTTCAAACACTTCCAAAGAGTATTACAGGCAACATGGAGCTCCTGGAAATTTCAGGGTAGGAGAGGAAGATGACAGACCTGTGCCTTCTGAGCATTAACTTCTTAGCTGTGTAGAAGCCAAAGGAGAATGGAGAGAACAGAAAATGGAGGCAGAGCCCAACGTGCTCACATACCTGTTCGCTGATTGAGTCTATTATTGCAAGAGTCCAGGTGAGGAGGAGCTTAGTACAGTGACTGGCACATAGTAGGTACTTAATAAATGTTGACTGACTGACTGATTAATGAGAGCTGGAACAAGGGTAGCAGGATAGGGAAAAAGGATGTCAGTGATCAGTAAGACTGTCAGGACTTGGAAGTAACACAAATTAAAGGAGTGATCAAAGTAAAACAGGATTAATCACGGAAGCCATACTGGAACTGGTGAGATTGGAGCTGGGTTACAACTTGGCAGAAGAGGGGGAGGAGGGCAGAAATGCAGAGAGGAATACATGTGTGAAAGGGCCAGGTGTCTCAAGACCACCACAAGGAGTAGACCTGGGCTGGAAGAGAACGGAAAAAGAAAGGAGACTTTCCAAACAGGGGTGCTGAGGAGCAATGAGAGAGGAAACATCCAAGCAAGTGAAAGAAAGAGCTTAAAGGGAAAAAGGGCTTGTAGTCTTTGCCATTTTGCAGCTCTTTACCAGCCAGTGTATGTCTGGGATGGGGAGGGGGAGTGGGGAGGGGGGGCGACCTCCGCCCATACATTTCCTGAAATGTAGATAACAGTTTATAAAAGGACTTAAGTGAGGATTACATCAGAAAAGAAAAGAATTATTTAGAGTATTTTAAAGGATAAGAACAAGACAACAGCATGAAAACAATTAGCATTTCAGGTAATTCTTTACAAGCAAAAAGGTTCCATTAGTTAATTTATCATTTCATTGTCTAAGTTCTCACAGAGATTGATGGACAGTGAGATTTTTTCCTCTTACTAGGTTTCTCAGTGTGGGAAGAAAAAGGCTTTAGACAGAACTAGGCTGTCAGGTGATCCAAAAGATCAATTTCTCCTATGTTTACGCTCAGTTATAAGATGCGATCTGCGTACCACCATCCCCAAATTTAAAGAACATAAGTGATTCGGAATGAGTAAAAAAATGTAAATAATTATTAACATGGGAGGAAAATTTGCTTAAATTTTTTAAAATTAACTTATTAAATTAATCTACTGCCCATTCACACAACACTTCACACATCCCATTTCTTTGCCCCATTTATAGGATGTGACACTGAAGCTATATTGTGATTTTTAAGTAGAAGTTGAAAGGGCCTGTTCCATCCCTTTCTGACAAGTAAATAAAACTGCAGGGAGATCAAATAACTCACAAAAGGGAAGATATAATTTTTTATCTCCATTTTTACAGTCTCATATCCACTTCCGTTGGGAATAACAAAGTCTGAATTCTTATGCAACATTTATCTAAATGTGTCGATTTTATCAGATTGATGAATTTTGCTAACAAAAGATAGGGCTAGGAAATCTTTTATGACACATTTGGAGCAATCACAGAGCCAGAGTTTTAATTTAACCAACTTGAGGATTCTCAGGCAGAGCTGCAGGTGTTGACTCTGAAAATAAAATCACCAATGGGAAGGCATATCAATCTTGATGACAGGAGAAACAAAAACACTTCATACTTGTTTGCCCTCCACAGACAGGTTCGAAGGAGAAGCAGAAGTGGCAGGATATTGTCTTGATGCCGCACAGAGAAAGAGAATGCCTCACTACCTCTCTGTGACCGCTACTTAGTATTGATCAAAAAGGACTGGTCCAAAAAGGATCACAGAAAATGATAAAACAATGAAAGTTCTCCGACATTATGCAGCTGAACAAGGGCAACAGTCCTGACAACATCAGAACAAGTCGTTTCTGATGTTCTGATGTAACTTGTTCAATGAGATGGCTTTACATCCTGTTCCTACTATGGAAGTTCCATCACCTTTAATAGTCTAATCTATTACTACTGAGTATTCCAATTTTTTTGAACTGTATAAAATCTCTCTTTTCCCATCTTCCATTTTAACCAACCGTTTCTGATCTTAACTGTCGGTAAAAATCTCCTATCAGTTTTTGGCTCTCTTAAAGAAGGAACCGCTTACTACTGAAAATGTATTTTAGAGCTAAAGGCGCCTAGAGATCATACAGCCCAAGCACCTTTAACAAAAACAGAAGGTAAATTCCAGAGAGGGCTGATGACCCTGCCTACAGTCACCACAAAGGGTGTACCGGAGCCTGCAGAGCTACAGCAAACCTGCATGCTGACTGTTACAGTTTCAACGTGGGCATTGACACTTCAGAAATGGGCAAACTTCACAAAACCAGGGCTTGACTTACTGTTTTGTGGATTGTCTAGACTTAAGTGATGGGTAAAATGCTAATGACACAGATTAAACTTAAACCTGGGTTGGGCATACATTTTTTCCCAGTGAGACTGTTATTGGCCATTTCAGTGCAGCCCCAGGCAACAACTTAGCAAACTAGAACCATGTCTCTTTAGCCTGTGTCCCTTCCACTACACCACACTGAACCTTTGAACTAAATTCAAATTCAAAATGTGGCAGCATCTAACACAGGAAGTCCACAAAATTTTAGCTTTAGTTTTTTTTTAGCAACCTTAAGAACTGAAGGGCAAAATTCTGGTGAAAACTGTATACTGAGAGAACTCTAACACTAGTCACTCGAGTCTTCCATTCTTACACACACACATACACACACACACACACACACTCACTCACTCCAGCAGCATCCTGTATGAGGTTATATGCCCTGGTCAGTTCAATGAATAGGATTAATTATATTTCTACTTAACTATTATTATACGAATGATGATTAGTCTACTCTTGGCAAACCTACTTTGTGTTCTCTAACGTCTTCTGCATTTTCTTGGTCATCTTGTCAATAGCCGCCTGTCTCTTCTCTTCTGTCAGGAGGTCTATCTTGTTCAGTACCACAATCAGTTTCTGACAAGCAATTTGCCCAATCACCAAGCATTCTGCTGACTGAGTCTGCATTCCTTTGGTCACATCGATAACTAGCATCATCAGATCAATGATCTGGGCTCCTAGAGAAAGAAAATACAAGGTTAGATGAATGAAAACAGAGGACTGAACTTTCAAGCAAGTTACCTGATATGTCCTAATCCAGGAGGCAGTGTGGTGCAGTGGAAAGAGCACTAGATTCAGAGTCCAAAGACCTAGATTCAAATCCTTGTTACTAAACTACCTGTAGGACCTTGAGAAAGCCCCTTAACTTCCCAAGGCCTGTTTCCTTATCTGTCATATGCATGGATTCCACAAATGACCTCTTAGGTCCCTTCAGCTCTAAATTTACGACCTATGATCTATAAGATCTATGACTGAGGGTCATTATTGCCTCAGTATAAATACAAAAATAAAATACATTTCTGACATAGAACTTCAAAACTTTCAAGACGGCATTCCAGATAACTTGGGGAGATATCTAAAAATTTTAGCCAAGGACAGGACAAACAATGAATCAATCTACAGTATTAGATCTTGGAAATCCATTTCCAATATAAAAAGGCAGAGGAAAACCAATAAATGACTGACCAGGTCAATTACTGTATCAACTAGGTCAATAACGCACAATAAAAGAAATAAAAGGTTGCAGCCAGGGCACCTGGGCAATAACAAGCAGAGGGCAACAAAGGACAGATTTTTTTTTCTAACACACAGGTACTATGGTAGCAGAGAACCAAACAGCAGTTTACAGGCTTTCTCCCCAGGTGATAAAGAAAACCAGTCCTGTGATGTCACTGGCGTAGGGAACTACTGGATAAGGAAATTCCCTTTACCAGCACAGGCCTACACCTACTTCTATCAAGTCAAAGAAATCACAAGGTGTCAGGGATGGTGTGGGAACCCGGGTCTTCCTGGCTTCAAGAACAACTCTCTTTCTACGATCATGCTGCCTCTCCCTAGAAAGTAAAGGACAAAGCTATTTAACCATGGGCCCCGATTCCCTGTACTTTCCGAACAATACTATAAGCAAATGAACCAGGGACAGCTACAAGCCAGAAATACAGTATAACACCCCATCAGAAACATATACTTCAAGATTCTAGAGCCACAAAGGTAGCTCCCAAGAGAAACAATCTTGGCTGTCTGTCTGCCTTAATGTGACCTAGTGGACATGTGGAACATCTTTACACTTCATAATCATAAATATTTTGTCTTCTTACAAAACATTTAAATTATTCAACAATCTTCATAATATCCCTAGCAAGCTGGTACTAGTGTTTTGGTGGTGGTGGTGGTGGTGCTGGCAGTCACAGCAGCAGCAGCTGTAGTAGTAGTAGTAGTAGCAGCAGCAGCAGCAGCAATAACTATAATATTAATAATAATTCATTTACCTAACACTTAACAATGTACAAAGATGAAGAACGCCTCAACAAACATGTGAGGTAGGTAGCAGAAGGTGTTATTTTCCCCATTATACACAAATGAGAAAACCTGAGGCTCAGAGGTCACCTGACTGAGTTACCCATGGTAATATAGTTATCAGAGGCTAAACATGAACCTAGGTCTTCTAACTCCAAAGTGCTTTTCTCCATAGGCTTGATAGGACAGACTCAAAATTCTCACTATCATTCCATTCTGCAGATGGGAAAATCTCTGGGAAATTAAAAAAAAAATTTAAGTGCTTTAAACACCTGCATGTTTTGTCTTGTCAAAAGACAAGAAGAGGAAAAAATAAAAAAGATCTTCTCATCTAAGTCTACTATATTTGAGAGCAGCCTGTTTTCTCTTTTCATGGTGTCCTTTTGAGTTTGGCAGTGATATTGCTTCTTTGGCTAGGGACTACTAGCCCAAGATAGAATTTAAGATTTGCTATAAAAAGGAAAATGAATGAAAAATAAATGAAGCTGATGTTTGCATTCAACTGGCCGATCTGTCACCTACCCCCAGTGATTCCACTTGCAAGAAGGCCTAGGTTCAAACACCATCTCTGACATATCTGACAGAAGTCCCTTAACTTCTCAGTGTTCTAGACAACTCTCGGAAGCTGGTAAATTTTAGAGAAGATGCAGACCTGCACTGGTAAAGGGAGTTTCCTCATCTCAAGAGTGCCCGATACCAAGCTGATTCCATATTTGTATTTTAGAGTAAGGAGTAGGAAAAAAGAAATGGACTGAGTTATAGAGCTTGAAAGAATTGTTAAATAGTGGCTGTCTGGCAGGTTTACCTTGTGATCAATTAGCTGTACAGATTACAGAAACGTTCTGAGGGCTGAGCCATGGATTTAATTTCCCTAACGGCTAGTTAGCTTAACTCAGACCTATGGCCAAAGACTTCAATCTCCCCCTCCACATTATAAACATGTTCTATTGGTTACCAAGGATAAGAGAGTACAGATGACTCTGTACTACCTACCCCCACCACTGCGAAAACAATGCAGTAATGACAGCATCTTGCATTTACCTGTAACAGCTAGTAGCTGCAATATCATACCCATTTTACAAATGAGAAAACTATCTCAGAGAGGTTAAGTGACTGACCAATAAGCAAACTGCTAGCAAGTGACCAAAACAGGCCTCAAATCCAAATCATCTGCCTCTGAGTTCAGTGCCCTTTCCCTCATACTCTGTTGTGAAGCACATGCCTTTGATGATGGTAGGCCAAAGTTTTTTATATTCATATACAAAGAATAGCACTTTTTTGTTTTGCATGAGACTGCAGATTTAGCTTACAAAAGCTAAAAAGGATCAAATCAAGCTAGAAGAAAAAACAGATTGGGGGGGGGGGGGGAAGATGACCAAGACATGTGAAGGCTCTCTTACTTCACTCACTGCACACAAAACTATTTTAGTACTGGACTCAGTTACAGGACCTAGGATTAAGTTCTGCCTCAGGCAACTAATTATGTGACCTTAAGCAAGTCATTTCTAAATCTGTTTCCTCATCTGTAAAAGGGAAATAATAGCTATTGTATTCAGTTCATAAGGCATTTGTGAGGAAAGTGCTTCTACAATTGTAAAGTTCTACAAAAAATGTGAACCATTATTAACTAGAACACAGCCAAAAACCTGGAATAAGTGAAAAGGACCTTTGAGTAGCCACAAAATGATAATAATAATTATTATTATAATCATAAAGTTCATTAGCTTTGAAAGCAATCTCTCTTATATGGCCTCATATGACCTCAACAACAGAACTGTAGATGCCCAATATAGTTATTTTTATCTTCATTTTATCAATGAGTAAAGTGAGGTTCTAAAAGAGTGAAGGGATATGAGTACTCCTCACAGTTTAGGCCAGTACAGATGCCACCGAATGTATGCTCTCGGAATGCATGCTTTCCATTCATTTCAGACATTTATTGGCCCACCTACAAAGAGAAAAGGATTTTACTACCAAATGTTCCCCACAAGATGGGTAAGGGACAAATATTCTCACAAGCTTAGTGAGCGGGCTTCACAACTCAGAGCACATTCTCTTCATCCAATCAGAGAGGTCAGACTGCTAACAAAGGGCACCGACAGCAGGGAGAAAGGAAGAACACGGGAAAATGACATAACACAGACACAAGAACTAAAAAAGCAAAGAAATATTTGGTCATTTAGCATAGGGGCAAATAGTCCTCAAAGTATGAGACTTTCTAAAGACAATGTGCATAATGAAAAAATCACCAACAAAAAGATTAAGCAATGTTTAGTAGACCTGTTTAAAGAAGACAGGGAAGTATGCAAAATATTTTAGAAAATTTTCCATCAAAACAAGTTTCAGCATTTTAGTTGGTAAGGTTAACTGGAAAATTCACCTAGCTAGAACACCACATTTCCCGATGAGGCCAAATAAACGAAGTATTATCATATTTCTACCTCACTGCTTAAAAAAAAAAAAACCAATTCATATGTCTATGGCAGTTGAGCAAATACCAACAAATTCCTGTACCCCCATACATTCAGAGAAGCATCATACATTAAGCCTGAATTTACCTATGCTCAGTACACCTGAGTTTTAACAAACCCATCAGGACCTGAAAGCAGCTCCTGACTGAGAGTCAAGGAGATGGTTTATTAAACTGTTTCAACGTCCCATGTTCTTGGACCCACACAAACCAGTGCTAGGGATCACCTGGCTTTCCACCTTCACTCACTTTGGCCTGGAATGTAGACGACCTTTTTCAAGCTCCTCCACTTCTTATTTCTTTCATGAATAAATTCAAAAGGTAAGTCATATCTGAAGCAAGGCAAAGACAATCTCCATGGGGAAGAATAGAGCCAAGATGCCAGGATGCCCAGACTTCTCAGGGCTGACAAGTACTACCAGCAATCACTAGGATCAGTTTTACCATCTATAATATACTGAGCTGACAATTTGAAATAGGCTCCACTGAAAACAATCTGACACAAATTAGGTCTGTTAAAAAACAGAGTACCCTTTACTTACTTAAAATCAGCTTCTTTTCCCTACCATTCAATTTTCTCATTTGTACATAAAACTAACTAGCGGTGTCCAGCCTTTCCCTGTTGGCTCAAGGGGAATGACTCATGTACTTAATATACTTAAAGGACCTCACATCTTACTCCTGTTGGGATCCTAAGCTTAAGAAACAGAACTGATTGACAGAGAAACGAAGATAAGTGCTAATATACCCAAGCACTCAGAACAGTTACAGGATTGCACTTTCAACCTTATCAAGCTATCTACAAGCAACATTCATTAAGGATAACACATATCTTTGCTCCAAAAGGATGGCATTCTAAAGCCGATGCCCTGTAGCACCATTGCTCAATGGCTTCTAAGAGAACCAAAGGTCACTATGACTTAACAAAACGGTCCCTAAAACTGGAACACAACTGGAAACTTCGGGTCAGCCCCAGTGAACTACAGGCTGCTTTCTGCACTCGGTTCATCTATTTTTTTCACCACACTTTTGATCAGAGGAACAAGGAAGTGACACAAGTGTCTCCCTCTCTTTTCTTTCAAATCCCCAGTATTTCCACCAAATGAATAGACAGTCTCTTTCCTAATTCCCACGAACCCAGAGTAGGAAATCATTCTTAAACGAGAGAGCATGGGTGAGTGAGTGGGTGGG